TCTCTGCTTCTGTCTCCTTGAACCCCAGTCGCCCTCGGCAGATGGCCGCACACACTGAGCCTGTTTCTGCTAGAGGTTTCTTCATGTTAAAAGGACGTTTTTCCTTTCCACTGTCGCTACAAGCATGCTTAGTGTGAGAGATTGCATTCGAGTCAATGAGTCGATGCAATCAACTGGCTTTCCTTAGACAGAGAATTTTGAATCGATTTGACTGTATGATCTGATGAACTGTAAAGTGCCTTGAGATGACACGTGTTGTGAATTGACGCTATATAAATAAACTAAATTGAATTGAAAGCTGGAAGCAGCTTTTATAACACCAACCAGACTGGTTTGTCAAGAACGCAACATGTGGTGTTTGATTTGAATAATGTAAAAGGTAAAGATTCGTTCTTATTTGTCTGTTTTTTTAATTAAGTGTCATCTGCCCTCTGAGAGAGAATATAGCTCCAACTTGAATGAAATGCTTCAGTTGGTAGCAAATAACTTAATTATAAAGTTTAGCTACATTTTTTTTTAGAGTGATTTAATTTGACAACTCATTAAATAAATGAAAAATTGTTTTAATTAAATGAAATTGGATCAACTCAATTAAATTACTTATTACCAGTCGAAGCAATGTATTTACTGCCTTTTTTTTACCTTTTCTGTGTCAGAGCAATCCTATCTTCTCTGCAGATTCTGCTTTAACTTAGTGGTGGCCATGACAATTGATGCGCTGACTCATGTGTAATTGATTTGGAACAATTACACACTTAAGAACTTATATTTATTTTTAAAGATTAATATCACAAATACGATTTGTATAAAAAAAGAGATTAAAAGCATCATAATAAAAATACTCTTGCAAGAGCCTCCACATCTCTTCAATCTCTCATGTCATCATGTGAATACTCATCCATGGGACTTTATAACTAATCAACCATTCCACTGGGATAAGAGGGGAGACTATAATGAAATGCTGAAGATGATTTCAGGCATTTATTTTTGCAGGACGGCAGCAAAAAGCTAAAAGAACAAAATGTAAATTCATGCATTTTCTCCCAGATTGTGTAAAGCTGATAGTGCACCTGAAATTTAATCACTAGCAGCATCTGACAAGCCAGAAGAACTCATAATAGGCTGGAAATGGCAGCATTGGATGTAAAGCCACATTTATCTTTATCTATCTTACAAGTGGGTAATAATAAAGGAATGTGGTATATCACAGATGGAAAGATATCAGACATGTTTAGTGAGTCTTCAACAGTCTAAATATACATATCGTTTTAAGAAGTGATTCTATGAGAATAACTGAAAAGTAAACAGGATGATTTTCTTTTGTTTATAAAATCCCCTTAAATAAATATTCCACTTATAAACATATATTTTTCTATCAAGAAGTTAGCATCTTGATAGAGAACTGGAATGATTGCTATTTCCCTTTTTCTGATGATGCATGGCTGCATTTCTAAGGATAAAATATATAGGTGGATGAATATTTATATGAATATTTAGAAACTAAAGTATAAACTGACATGTGACATTGATCCCTCCAGCACTGTACATTAGCCAGGTTTTTGTACCTCTGTACAGATCAAGTATGGAATATCTGGGAGGGTGGAGTCAGATAGGAAAAATTATTTGCTTTAATAGTTTTAGCGCCTTTATTTTTTATGATAAAGACATTGAGGAGAAAAAAAATCCAGAGACGGACTGCTCCCTTCCTATCTAAAATGTTCCCCACTGAATTAATCACATAGCTCCTGGTGTATATAGATCTAAACTAGAGTGTGTGTGTGTGTGTGTGTGTGTGGCCTTCATTTATCTTTCTTCATGCCTTAGATCAGATGATTCCAAAGCGGAACGTAGATCATTTCACATATTAATATATCCTTAGCAAGCAAGTAAAAAAAACAGCCATGAGGGCCCTCAGGACCCTCATGGCTGTTGCCATAAAGTTCTATTTAGTAATTGTGTTTAAAACTTTATTAGAATCGGCTATGGGAAAAAGGGAAATTTTTGCCATGGACGTGGAGACCGAAGGTGCACTGAGAAAGGGAGAGGGGATGAGAATTAAGCTGAGAGAGAAAGAGAGAAGGGGAGAGAGGGCAAGAAAGAGAGAGAATAAATGAGAAAAAAACAAAAACAGAAAATACAGAATAAATAGAAGTCTGTTTCCACACATGCAGAGGGAAGAAAAGAAAAAAGAAAAGAACACACCAACTATGACAAAAGAGGCTGAACACAGTAAATACATGTAAACAAACATCAAAAGCAATATCTGTGAAGATTACACATTTATGTAGCGCTATATATAGTTGAAAGAGCAGCTTGATATTAAGCATAACTACATATTTCAATACCTGGAACCAAATGCCTGTAAAGTATATCCATAAGTGTGTTAATCCAAATAAGGTTTAAATGGCTCCTTCAGCAAGAATATAAGCTGGTGTGAGGGGTTGCAACAGATATTTTAACAAAGCCCAGAGGAAAGCAGCCCCATTTTTGTTCAGAGCAATGGACTACACAACCTGAGAAAGCTTACATTTCCTCCCCTTAAGAGGGTTTTCTAGGTTTGGCACGTGTTGTAATTATCAAGGGAAGAGACAGAGGCACTAAAAAAATTCTTATAGTTCCTGGAGCATCTTGTGCCTGGACACAGTGCAGTTGCTGACCACACATCATAGCAGCTGGTCAGGATACTCTCAGTGTTGCCTCTGTAGAAGAGATAGAGATGTCGCTTGGCTCTCATGGTCAGTGATGCTCGTTTTCCAGGTGGGCACTATAACCTCTGTCATTTTCTCTTTATTCCAGGAAAGATTATCTCTGAAATATGGGATGGTTTAATTGCTTTGTTTATTTCATCTACATTCTACAGCTTAAATGCAATGTTAAGGCTTTTTAAAAAATGATTAAGTATTATGTTTTAGGGCTGCTCAGTGGGTAGCACTGCTTCCTTGCAGCAAGAAGGTTCTGGGTTTGATTCCTGGCCTGCATATTCTCCCTAAGCATGCGTGGGTTCTCTCCAGGTACACCCGCTTTCTCCCATATTCCCAAAACTTGACTGTTAGGTTAATTATCTTCTCTAAATCCTCCTTAGGTGTGTGTGCATGAATGGTTGTTTGTCCTGTTTGTCTCTGTGTTGCCCTGGGATGGACTGGCAAACTGTCTGGGGTCTACCCCACCTCTGGCCCTTAGACAGCTGGAGATAGGCACCAGCACCCCTCGTAACCCTGCTTGGGATAAGCGTGACTGAAAATTGATCGATGGATAAATTTTATTTTGTTTATGGTAATGTTACATCACATGTATAATTAGTAAAACATTTAAAAAAGAACATTAATACCTCTTTAAGGGGGGGGTTAAAACTATTATTTTTTAGAGCTCTTAGAGGACCGCAGGAGGCATTGTATCTGTTTTGTTTAAAGTAATTAAAATATTAAATAGGTCATAGACAGTGCGACTATTCCACATGTAATGCAATTGGACGCACAGATTGTTTACCTAACATTTAGTCTTTGAGGAAGAGTCTGATGCATTTTCTTCCTTTTCTTCAGCTGCAAAACCAGAAGAAAAGACTGAAGTTCCATCTGTGTCTGGAAAAGTGGATGCTGATAAAGGAGAAAAGAGGAACAAGGAAGGGAAGAAAGACAAAAGTGCCAAAGAAGGGAAAGGAGATGAAAAGGACGCTTCAACAAAAAAGAAGGGAGAAAAAGGAGAGAAAGAGGAAAAGGGAGCGTCCAAGAAAGAAGGTGGCGAAGGAAAAACAAAGAAGGTTGACAAAGGAGAAAAGAGCGACAGAGGCAAAGGAGGGGCTAAAGCAAGAAATCCAAAAAATGAACACTGAACCCCTTTAAAACAAAGAAAAATATCTCCCTTTTTTATTATACTCAGCAAATGTTATACTTTTCTAAAATAAAAGTTGTATATTGACTTCAAAATAAAGTTAAATCAATTTCAAAAACCGTGCTCCTCAGTGTTTTAGTAAGAATCAGAAAAAAAGCAGAAAATAGTGAAATTACATTTTTATTTTCTTACACTGTACTGATGATCAGAACATTTTCTCTAGTATTTACAATGATATATACATATACCTTCATCAGAGCTGACTGAAATGATGAAAACACATATCTAAGGAAACACTGCCAACATACTGTACTAGAGTTTTACACAAGGCCTTAAAACTACTTCTACCTCCACTGTGTACATTTCAGCATAAATAAATGACATAAAACACACCATTTACTTCCAGAAAGAGGTATTTATAAGAGTTATAGCATTAGCTTTATGAAAATTGGTCTCAAATTTCTGAAAAACAATCACTGCATGAGCGAAAAACATCAAAACAGAATATTGTGGAAAAGGAGATAAAGTGCTTAAATAAAAATCCAAAGTGTTTCAATGCAAAGGTACGCTGTTCTGACTGACCTTATTACAGAAAGGTTATTAACAGTAATTATATTTAGTTTTTTTTACATAATATCTTTTGCAAAGGATATGCAATTTTAGTAATAAAAAGTTTATATACGTTTATGAAAGTCATATTTCTACGACACAACAAGCAACAGACATCATCTTACATTAGGTCTATGGATCCACTAAACCTTCTGTTGTACTGTACTTGTCACAGTGGGAGTGGGTAAAGAGGTGTAAGATATTTCTTTTAGATGAAGTAAACTAATTTGTACATTTTCACAATGCTTGTAGTGTTTTTAATACTCAATGAAAACAGTGATGTGTCTATATGTCTAAACAGTCAAAATTCTTTTTTTTGGAATAATGTTTTAAAATGTGTAAAACACTGGAATGCAATTTGTGGTTTTCTGCTTGTATGTAATAATATGATTTTTTTTTTTTTTTATTGTTAGACTTTACAGTTTATGTTCTACTGTAAACAAAGCACAGAGATTTCTTTAATTGATGGAGAGAAGGAGAGCTGAAATATTAATACCTATTTTAGCAATTGTGATATAAAAAATATATATATTATAGATTGTAATTTCGGTTTGTATGTTAAACATATGGTAGTAATGTGGATATATCCAGTAGCTCTTTAATGAGCCCATTACTAGATTTGATGCTGAATGTAGTCTGATTTAATGGTCACATTTTAGATCATATCTTCAAAAACATGTAATTAACATCAATGGAGGATGTTGTTTTTATGTATGTTTAATCTTTTTTAAAGAGGATTACCACAATATTGGGTGTAAACATATAATACTATTGAAGCATAACATTTTTCCAAGCTATTCCAAGCCTTTTTTCTTTGGTATGATAATAACATGTCGTACACTGTCAGCCATAAAGGCTTATTACAGGGTTTTGGAATGTGTCAAAAACTAACTGCATGTATCTATGTGACAGTTCTGTTTTCAGTCTCGACAAATAATGCTGACATTCTTTTAACTAATACCTGAGCACAACTATGATACAACAGCTACAGGACATATACGTGCGACAACATTTAGCTCACAAATAAGACTGTATTTTGATCTGTAAACATTGTGACTTGAATATGAAAGAAGTTAAAGCCACACTATTGGGCTTTTTTGAAAATCATTTTGCAGAAACGTCTCTCCCTGATTGGTGGGGAAATCTATTCTAACAAACCTATTACATTTCCTTTTTCAGTCAGGAAAAAAGGCTTCCTGTTTCCACTTGTTTTGAATAGGGTTTAATACCATAAAAATCGTGAAAGAAATCTAGCGATTAAATTAACTATTCATGTTCTTTCTTCACTACAAAGTGCACATAACTAAATAGCTATGTTCCTTTTTTATAATCCATTTGACATTGTGTAATTTTTCTCAACTAAAACTGTTAAGTACTTTAATTTGAATATATTAGAATTTACAGGATAGTTTTCTGGAACTGTAATGGAGGTCACCTTTAACTTTTAAGAAAAAAGTTAATGTAACACACATATTTCAGAAAAGTGCATGGTAAGTCAATACTATAAGAAATGTACATGTTACAACCCACCTTAGAACACAGCTAAACTTTTCAAATCATCCAGAAACGGAAGTCGCAAGAAAATTCCTTGATAGTTAAAGGAAAGCTACAGGTAAGTTTCATCAAGGTTCATAGTAAGTTCTTGGAAAGCACATTTTGGTTAGCCTTGTATTAAACTCAACACTGGAAACTACTCAGTTTCATAATAGTTCAATGAAAGTACCTGGATAATTTAATCAATGTTCCTAGTAAGTACTGGATGCATCACATCGTGCAAGCACACTTTTTAAAGAAAAGATATGGAAATTTATACATTCATTACAATCCTTCATAACCCTTCTGATTAGAGGAAATAATATGTCAATCAAAACAGGAGCACAACAGATGACAAGATAAAAAACAAAGCTGACAAGGTTTAAAAAGCTTGAAGTCTGGAGTTGTATAAATTGCAGAAACACCACCTCAAAAATATAAAATCTTGTGTTCGACAACAAAGGATTTTAATTACCTGAGTAACTTCCCTTTTACACTGACACAGATGTGAGTCAATGCAGAAGAAATATGACCCATGCCACAAACAAGAAATGCCGTAAAAAATGTCAGGAATAACTTCTTTTTTTTTTCTAAATAATTACTTTGAGAATGACAATTCCCCAGCTTTGATTTACAGTTAGTATGTTAGGCTGATCTCTCTTTAACGTTAGGCTTAATTTATAAACAAAACATTAATATGCATTGTATGCAAACAGAAAACTACATTAAAAATAGTCATGGCAGTAAAATCAACCTTTTGAAATTTCAGCCGGTCTGAGGCTTTTACACATTCTCTGCTGTAGATGGTGGATGAGCAAAGACGGTCTGCCATAACAAATTTGGCATCTTCCTTGGAAAAGCAATATTTATCTTTTTTTTATCCCTTGAGCCTCATCCATTTGCAATGTTCAGGCTCAGTTTACAGGAGAAAAGAATTGGTACTTCATGCAGTAACTACCTTCAGACGCACCTAAGAGTGTCCATGATTTGCCTTTCCCCTCTCCCTCACATGACTGTCTCCCTCTCCTCCTCCACTACAGGTGTAGGTTTCTCTTGCTCGCTAGACCGTGTATGTGTAGACTGATCCTCTTCAGGGATATGGAGTTCCTGGCCCGAGGAAGGTACTGAGTTCTCAGAGACGGATCCATTCTTTACATATCCAGGAAGGTTCCTGTGGCCATTTACAGGCACTGGCCCTAGCCTTGTGGTGAGGTGGAGGGCCAGGGGTCCTCTGGCAGTGACATTGGTTACGCTGGTATGTGATACCATTGGACCATAACTGTAAGTATTACTTCCACTTCGAGCTTTTCTCTTGAAATCAAGAGCCAAGGTTCTTCTGCTCCATGACTTCTTGATCTCAGCTTGCACCTACAAGGAGAATTTATGTATCTATTAGGGATTTATCTGACACTGATATCTAAAAAGAAATTTCAAAGCAAACCTATGGCATGTTTACCTCTCCGTTGCAAAAACAGTATATGATTGCAACAAAGAAACCCTAAAAGAGAGAGCAAACTTATTTAAGGTACACTGTACAAAAAAAGGCAATTAGCACTCACTAATATGACATTTAAACTGTGTAATTTGACATTTTCGTTGATATTCTCCCTCATCAGTTATCCATGCCATATTCTCAATCTTAATTAGGATCTTATATACCATTAGTAACCAAACCGTAAAAAACAGACAGTCTGCAACTGCTGTATGGTGATAATATTAAACCTTAAGGGCAGATTCTAGACAGGTCAGTCAGATTTCTTAAACATGGAAAGACATTTAGGGCTCCCACAGTAATATAGTAACATTTCCAGAATATCTACCTCATTTAATTTTTTTTTTACCTGGAAGGAGTTGAAAAGCATCTCGTAGTGCATTTGTATCAACCATGGTATTCCAGAAACCTCTGTATATGGCATGGCATGAAATATGATGTAGTGGACGCCGAACAATGGCATCAGCACCAGTGTAGACTTCAAGAGTTTTCTGCAACAGAACATTTCGCAGTCAAAAGTTTACTTTACAAAAATAAGTAACCCTAAAAAACAACAAAACCAGATAAAGTTAAAAAAGCTCAAGTCTTACTGTATTTGTAAGTAAAGCTGCTGAAAAGTTTGCTTATTTGATGGCACGTCTCAAAATACATTTTATACAAAACATGAAGAAATTGAGCATATTTTTTATGAAACTGCGTAAATTCTCAGTCATCCAGATCATGGCTACCACAAAACAGGCTTCAATTGGAGGAAACCAGACATATGTTATGAGCTATGGTCATAACCAAATGAACCAGATTTCAGAAACTAACATTAACTTCCTCCACAGTATGCCAGCCTTAGAGGTAGGATGAGGAGGTCCATTTGGTCCTAATGGTCAAATTAGAAATTGCTCCTTTGCATAGGAAAGAGTGACCTGAGGTAATAATTATAATTAAATTTTATTGATCTCGCATTGGAGAAATTTACCAGAGTAGAGGCTATGGGGATTAAACCGGATACTTGCAACATTCTCAGAGCACAAGTGCACTGCTCTAACCCACTAGGCCAACACTCCCCTAGTGTGATTTCAGTGATTCTGGGTGCTTAGGAGGTTTTCCCACTGGAAGGACATCCTAACACCAATCTAAATTACGTTGGAGGAACTGTGTATCTCCTCTGTGCTGGGAATGCCTTTGGATCCTAGGAAATTTATTTGGGTGAAGCCAACACGCTAAAATCTTTTGGTCTGTTTATAAAGTTGGTTTCTTAGTGTTTCATGTTGCCAGAATTTTCCTCTCACTAGGTCTTTGTCCCTACCCTAGGTAAAGTTGTACTAGTAACTTTTAATTTCTCAGTATACTCCAAAATACGCTGGATTGTTGTC